ATTATACAGCCAAAGTATAAAGGGCTAGACTCCGCCCCCGGACCTCTCTTTCGCACATCATCCGTCTCGCTCTAGTGGTTCGAAGTTTGAAATAATTTGTATTTTGTCATTTGACCCCCTGACTTCGTACAGTGAAGATGTGTGCGGTGAAATTGTGAATAAAAATTAAGTTTAGTGGATTGTGCAATACGTGTTGGCTTGGCTTTGGTGGAAGGGTAAGTAATATTAATTAATATAACAATTTTATTTAAATAATAGTAAAAAAATGACACTATTCAAATTATCTTATTTAAGGTATATTTTTTATAATATTATTGCCAGTTCTGATATTAGTTCGGGTTAATAAATAAGATATTGAAATAATAGTTCAGTTATTATTTACACAATTAAAATTATCTTTTCAAAGGATTTTTAATAATATTATAGAAAATATTTATTTCGTATATCAATAGAAGTGAAGTTTAAATCTAATTATTAATAAAAAAAATTTAATTAAAATTTTACGATGTAGTATTGATTATAACGTCTATACAAAAAGATATCAATAAACAATACAAGCTTTTACTTATTTATATATTTCATTCATTAAAACGATAAAATTATTCATTTGTAAATATTATTTTATGTTAAATAAATTTATTTTTAATATTTATTGTTACATTCATATAAGAAATAAAACAGTTTTTGATATAAACTTTTAAATTAGTCATAATTATAATAAGACTTAACTAACAGTCGTTATATTGTCACTGATTTGAAATATCTTTCTCAAATAACTCTCAAATCAAAATTATATTGAATAATATTAGAAAACTAAAACAAAGTATCTTCAAAAAGATTTACAATTCTATGCTTTGTTTATATTAGAATCTATAGTCTTCTACCTGTCAATTTCCCAGCTTTAGTCAGGGTTTGCCTTACATGTTGTGAATAGTTTTGGCTAATTGTTTTTACGACCGGCCGCCTGCCTGACATCAATCCTCTTTGGGAATTTATAATAATCTACACCTGGAAAATATTATAATTTAATTCCAGGTGCTTATAATAAAAATCTGGTTAAGAAATATCGCCGTCTTTATAGATTCCAATACATCAAAATTTTGGGAATTTATCCATATCCCAACTAATATTATAAATGCGAAAATAACTCTGTCTGTCTGTTACGCTTCCACGTCTAAACCACTGAACTGATTCTAATGAAATTTGGTACAGAGATAGAGTTGATCTTGAGAAAGAACATAGGATAGTTTTTATCCCAGACTTTTGTAAGGTTCTCTTGGATACGATATAACCGAACTCAACGCGGGCGAAGCTGCGGGCGGAAAGCTAGTACATCAATAATCTACCTTTAAAATCTTCCATAAAGGTTTTAGTAATAATATTTATGTGTGTTCTGGTTTTAACCAAAGCTCTACCAAAGATTAAAATCTGTTATCAAATTTAGATCTAGCAGGTGTGGAATATACAACATCTGCTTGTCCTGCACTTATATTAAAGAATATTTATATAGTTATATTAATATTTAATAATATATATATATATATATTATTAAATATATATTACATATATATATATATATATATATATATATATATATATATATGTAATATAAAGATAATTGACACGCAAATAAAGTATTAGACGAAATGAAACTTTTTTGATTGAGTAGATCATAATTTAGAACATACAGGTATATTTTAGGTGTTTTTATGTTTTTATAATTGATTTCTAGTATATATATAAAACGAGACATAGAAAAACTCTGTAAAGTTTTATAAAAGATTTAATCTGATATGATAATAGTTTTTCATTGTTTTCTCATAGCATTTAATTTTAATACATAAAAAAATGTGTTTGCAGATTTTTCTCTCCCAAGAGTAAGTGGATAAAACACATGATTGTATTAAAAATAAGTATTAATATTATCTTGTACCTACAATGCGTTTAAAAAAAGGAAATATTGAGTTATTTTCTTTGCCTGATTTCATAAAAAACGATAAATAAAGATTAACTTTAAATTATTTCAAAGGTTTAACCGTGTTCTTACTACTAGTGTTACAAAATTGACATAAACCAATAATATATAATAGTTTATTGATAAAAATATATATTAATTAATGCTTATAACGATTTTGCACAGAATACGTAGCGTTACCAGTTAAGCCTACTCACAAGACTAATATCTTCGAATTACTACGCGTTGTTTAATTATTTTTAAAACTACATACTCATTATTTCCAAAGAGGGTTGATGTCAGGCAGGCGACAATCGTAAAAACAATTAGCCAAAACTATTCACATGTAAGGCAGACCCTGGCTATATCTGGGAAATTGCCAGGAAGATACTACATATTTCGAATGAGATAATGAGAGATTTTCATCCCTGTATATGATCATGGTTGCTGACTTGCTGTTAAATAACCCAAACGTCGGGAGTATGTGGTCAAAATAATCGCGTAGTAATCCGAAAAATATTAGTTTCATTTAAATGAATACTCGCGAAAGTAGATCTCATTAGTATGAAGATTGATTTATGAGTGAGAAACTAACAATTGTTCCTATCATCCTATCAGAACCCACTGCTGAGCCTCTTCTCACATGGAGAAGGTTTGAGCATTAATCACTACGCTTGTAAGACGGGTTGGTGATTTCAAACTTATAATTGTGAAGCTATAAGTCCAGGTTTCCTCACGATGTTTTCCTTCACCGTATGTCAGTGGTGTCTAAATACTCTCAGAAAGTACATATGACAATTGTATTAACTTGTAGTATTTAAAATAGTCATAGAATTTAAGTAGAATAGATATTTTTATGTGCAAGTGACAAACGAGCAGTCGCCCTATAGATGGTCAGTAGTGACCGTCGCCTATATAAGTACATCTGCAACATAGATGTTATAGATGCATTGCCAACCTTGATTTTTAAGGAAAAGGGAATAGGGAACAGGGAATTAGCAGGAAAGGGAGGGAATAGGGAAAATACAATTTGCAATAGTATAGAAATTATACTTGAACTTTTTTAGGGATCTTTAGTCATTAAAGAAAAGTCAGTTATAAGACTTACGACTTACCTTTTGAAGTGATAATATTGCTAGGAGTTCTAATCGTAATATTAAAGGCATAGTTTGTAGTTCTTCACTAACTAACACAACATGTGTAAAAAACTTGTCACTGTTTTTATAGTTTTCATGTAAACACGTATTAAGGCTGCAACTCTTCTTTTTTCGGGCAATTTCCCAGCTTTAGCCAGGGTCTGCCTTACATGTTGTGAATAGTTTTGGCTTATTGTTTTTACGACCGACCGCCTGCCTGACATCAACTCTCTTTGGGAATGAAATAAATTGGAAGGGTGCAACTATTTATTTATAATTATTTAATAACATTTTTGTTTATTTTCTCTATGATAATTTATTGCAATTCATATACCTAATACCTACCTATTAGGTATATAATGCAAAATTATCTTCACACAAATGATATATTTGATTTTCAATATTAAACTATAAGACACACAAAGTTAATATATTAAAAGAAAAAATATATAAAAAAAGGAAACTAGTGTACATAATTTTATTTAAAAAACCATACGTTAATTTTAATTAAACATAACTCGTGTTGATTCTTTAAATCCGTTGTTTTAGGATGTTTTATAAACAGACATTTAAGCCGCGCCATTTTAATTTTTTTTTAAATTTATATTTCGTAAATATTTTTAAATTCACATCCTATTATGTTATGATTATTATAAAAGAGTTTTTATATTCGATATTAGATTTTTTTCACAATATATTATTTTTGAGATATTTATAGGTAATTCATTATTCTATAATAAATATTCCATATTTGAGAAGTAATAAAAATATTTCTTGAGTAATAAAATTATAAGTTATTGAAATTAAATTTTCATTAAATATTAACAATTGGATTTCAAGAATATTAATTGATTATTATTTTTTATATAATTATAAAAAATGTATTGTTTTTTCGTTGTTTTGGCAAGTGTTAATATTTTTATCCTATATTAAAAATTTTCGAACAATTTTAACAGATTGCGTAATTTAACTATGAATTGTATGTTACTTAAAATATACGTTTTTGTTTTAATTAAATTATATATATACATATCGTCGGGGATAGTGCAAAACCGCGTAACTAGCAATGGATAATTCTACGTATCTAGTAATAAATAAACACTAAATAATTACTAATTGTCAAAAAAATACTTTAAAAGTCGTTTATGTAGAAAATATTTCAGCTCAAACTTTCTTCTGATAATCTGCTTCCAATGTATATATCCGGAATTATCCAATGCTACATAGTTACGCGGTTTTGCTCTATCCTCGACGATATAGGTATGTATGAAAAACGAAATACCACTTTGACGCTGAAAACATATTAACTTACTTTAAGGATATAAGTAATTGTTTAATAATATTTTGGGCAGAAAAACAAATGAAGGAACAAATTTGTTTAATCTACTACATTATATTTATCTATTTTAAATTATTATCCATTTATTTTCACTCTTTTTCTTATAACCACGGGATTTCATCGGAATAAGACAACTTTTGAAAAAGACTTAACTTTTATTGAAAAGATTTTATACATGAATAATTATAAAGTTATTAATAACTATTACTTTAAGTTTCAACGTTAATTATTATGACATAAACTGGTACTAAGGATACGGATAAAAGCAGTACATTATATTAGTAGTAATAATATGTTAAAGCCAAAGATTTTTAGATACGCGGCAAAAAGGTTATTACATTCAGTTGAAACTTAAAATAAAACATTCACATAATATCTACATTGAAGTATTAATAACTATAAATCTTCTATTAAAATAATTATCAATATATTCCACTTATAATTTGATATAAAACAATATTCTTTGTCATGTTTACGTTTTGAAAGCAGCGTCATCATGTTACGTCATTCGACACTAATCGAATCTTTAAATATCAATTCATTATATATCATATTGTTACAGAATAACAAAATGAAATCTACAAACATGGAGTCCTGTTCTGATAGGCTGAGTCCATCCAGTGATTTGACGAATGAATCCGAAACATCGCTTCCATCATTCCCATACGAACAGCAGACCGGGAACTTCTATCAGCCGGATATAAACGAAAAACAATACTTCTCCTGCAAACAGAAATCACCTCAAGATAGAAAGGAGGTTTACTTACAGGAGAGCAATAAAAACTCCTTCGAGAACTACTTACCGGCGAGAAGCAAAAAGTATTTAAGCTTCGAACTCAAGTTACCGCCGATCAATGACAACTTCTTTCAAATTGACAGCGATGACAGAACGATGCGTTCAACGTACTTCAGTGATGTGAATAAATGCGTTCAGAATGAAAACAATCCAATGCAAGAATTGGATATGGATTTAAATAATCAGTTTGAAAATATTAATAGTGATAGGGATAGGGTCCAACAATCGTATTTCGCGGATACCGAAAGCGGTAATATGCGGAGATGTTTAAACTTCAACTCGGAACAAGTCCAATGCGTGTGTGAGGCGCTCCAACAAAAAGGTGATATAGAAAAATTGGCGGCATTTCTATGGAGTCTGCCACCGAGCGAATTGTTGAGAGGGAACGAAACCGTTCTTAGGTGATTATTGTAGAATTATAATAATGTTATATTTGTATATATTATTAAATAAACTTTCTATCAGGGCCCGAGCTTTAGTGGCGTATCATCGCGGCGTTTTTCAAGAGTTGTACGCCATATTGGAGACGCATACGTTCTCACCTCGTCACCATACAGATCTCCAGAACCTTTGGTTCAAAGCGCACTATAAGGAAGCTCAGAAAGTTAGAGGAAGACCACTTGGTGAGTTATAGAAGCTATATAAACTTTTTGGTGTTTAAATATAGGGTATAAGGATAATTACAAAGTTATTCTACATAAATAATCAACCGTACTTGTTTTCTATTGTTTAAGTACGATTTTAAATAGCAATCGTTACAATAATACTTTTTATAATAATAACGTTCAGAAACAAATATATATATTTCTAATCAACAACATAACAAATAAATAATGAAACTGTTTTTGTTCTTTTGTGATAAAATATGATTTAATGAGAATTAAGACTTTCGCGTATATTTATTTAAATGAAACTAATATTTTCGTATTACTACATTCACATCTCGTCTGTCCGTGATCACGGTTGTAAAGTAACCGAAACGTCGGGAGTATATAGTTTAAAATAATAAAAAATGCGTATTAATCCCAAAATATCAGTTTCATTTAAAATATCATTTCCTAATCAAAGATTTCAATGTAATACTAGGAGCTGTTGACAAATACCGTCTTCGCAAGAAGTATCCTCTACCAAAGACGATTTGGGATGGTGAAGAGACGGTCTACTGCTTTAAAGAGAAGTCCAGGAATGCTCTAAAAGACTGCTATTATAGAAATCGGTATGTCTTGATAAGATCTTGATAAGACAGAACATATATATATATATATATATATACATAGATTTACAAAAAAAATACTGCTATATAATAATCAAACAAAATTTAATCGTTTATTATCACAATCAATTTTATTTAAAATGAATTTCTGATCATCGGTTATACATTTTTTTTATTAACAGTAGCACAAAACTATAATGCCAATGTCAAAAAAAAATAATAATAATGGCAACACTACCATTCAGTTACCCAACGCCGGATGAAAAACGCGCGCTCGCACAAAAAACGGGTTTGACATTAACGCAAGTGTCAAATTGGTTCAAGAACCGCCGCCAGCGGGACAGGACGCCGCAACAACCGAACAGACCGTGAGTATAGAGGTTGGAGAAATGAGGTTTGATTACAGAAAACAAAGGAGGCTGTATATCGAAGATTTAATTAGACATTGGCTGTATGGATGAAAGCCATTACATATTATTTTTGACATATATTCATTACTTATTAAATAACTTTTTCATTAATGATTTATTTTGTGCGAATAGAAGAAAAACATTATTTGTATTTATAATCGATGTTTTTTTAATATATCAAAATCTTTCTTGAAGCATAATTAGTAATGTAATGTATGGGTTTATCAGTTAGTAACAAATAAAAATGGTTTGACTTCTGTGTTAAAGGTACATAATTGATTTGTTCAAACCATTTGCTGAAAAACTTCACAATTTTTTAATACTCAGCGCAATATTGTGTTTTCATTATGAACGGACAAGTATAGCGTTAAGAATGTTTTCTGAATAAGACGATCAAAATTTTAATTAATTCTTCTGATATTAAATTTAAAAAATATATTTTGAGTAATATTAAATGTATGTTGTTTTCAATTTTAAATGTATTCATCGATTAATTTTGACTGATGACTACAATCTCATATTATTAATTAAACAAATAAATTATTTTAATAAGAACATCACTCACGTAACAAAACTATAGATAAAATATATTTATATATTACATATAATTAAAAAAATCAATATATTTATTTATTTCCCTACGGAACCCTAAAATCGAAGTCCATTTCAGAACTTAAGGTCATAAACTAAATATTATGATTGTTTCGTGTGTGAGTCTTTGTTTTGTCGCCATATTGGATTACAAACTCAAGGTTAAACTTTAAAAGCTAACCAATACATGTTTAAAACGACTTCAGGTATTAAATAATATATTTTTTGTTCTGAAACAATCATTATAATTAACGGTACATATAGGTGAAGGAATTAGAAATCCTTTGTTGATTATATTAATCTTATTGAATACTAGCTTTCCGCCCTCAGCTTCGCCCGCGTGGAGTTCGGTTATATCGCGGTTTCAAGAGAATCTTTCAAAAGTCTGTTATAAAAACTACCCTATGTTCTTTCTCAAGGTTAACTCTATGTCTGTACCAAATTTCATTAAAATCAGTTCAGTGGTTTAGGCGTGAAAGCTTAACAGACAGACAGAGTTACTTTCGCATTTATAATATTATTAGGGATGAAATAATACGAGAATAATACCTATTTAAAATTAGGTATTAGGTGACTTCTACGAAAGTATAGATTAACATAATTAAAAAAGAGGTTTAATATATTTTGTTCATATTAATTAAAAATGTCATGCAAATATTTTTAAATTTACAAATTTGTAGAATTATTTTTTTTCTTAGATTACATATTGACTATAATATACATCTTCAGATTATGTAAATGAATGAAATGTTATATTTTACAAGAATTATAATGAAATTAAAATAAATTTAGCATTCGCAAAGCTTACATAAATATAAAAGTACATAATTTCATTCTTTGAGCTTTACATATAACATCGGTTTCTTTAGTTCAGTCAATATAATGTGACGACCCTTAACACATGTCTGAAATTAATTACAAATAAATTCTAGTAATGGGTGGGACCCAAAGATTTCTTAATTTCTATTTTCACAGACCCAAAGTAATTAAGATCATTAATCAATAGTAACAAAGGTTCAACACATGTGCGTTCGGCCACGCCGCCATTGTCTTAACATTGACAGATGCGTCAAAATGACAAGGATTTTATTTTTTACACGCATATATTATTTTGTTACATATTGATTTTATTAAATTCTATAAATAGAAATGTTTGTTAAATTCTGTATATATGATAATGTTGTTAAATTTGAGATTACCGTTTTAAATGTTTTGTGAGACCTGCACTATAGACAAATGATTATAGATTAAACCAAGAAAATTATCAAAATAAACAATTTTTCGGCTTTAACGCATTAATCTTGATAACTGATTTTCTTTTCTAACTTATTTTACCGAGGTAGAAACATATCGAAATAATTACCTATAAATAGCGTAAAGACTTTTTAATTGAAAGAAAACTAATATTTTGCTGATTTACTCATCATCACCCTATCAAAGCTCACTGCTGTAAGTCCTTCTCTCACGGGAGAAGGTTTGAACTTTGAGCATTAATCACCACGCTTGCTCGAGACGGGTTGGTGATTTCAAACTTATTATTATGAAATTATAAGTCCAGGTTTCCTCACGATGTTTTCCTTCACCGGGAGTATGTAGTTAAAATAATTATAAACACTTAGTAAATCACTAGTTAGATACTTCTGACAGACGGTGAAGGAAAACATTGTGAGATAGTAGAGACTTACAATTTCTAGTTATAAGTTTGAAATCGCCGACCCGTCTTACAAGCGTGGTGATTAATGCTCAAACCTTCTCCATGTGAGAAAGAGGCCTTGCTCAGCAGTGGGCTCTGATAGGATGATGATGACGACTCCCGACGTTTCGGTTACTTTGCAACAACCGTGACCACGGACAGACAAGATATGACTTTTTAATTTGTTATAGATATGAAGAATTTAGCATTTTAATTGTTTAATGCTCGTAGAACCTTTCGATGAAATTTAATAACAATTGTTGATTAGTAAATAATGCCGTTGATTCAGATATAAGACGAAACTTCTCAGCATTCCATGGATTCACCGTGCGGGTGCCGGGTCCATCGCGTTGCAGGGGGAGGAGCTTCAACAGAGCCTGGGACTTGCGACCCAAGTGTAGGTTTAAGGGGCCCCTTAACTAACGCGCGTTATACGCTCACCTCCACTGTCCAAGCTCCTCTCCCTACCTAACCAAATTTGAAAAGAACCTACTAGGGCTGCCTTCGATGTACGTTCCAAGAATGCATTAATGTGAGTTCTGGACAAGCCCAAGTCCTTTAGTAGGTTATAGAGAGATTTCGCTGTTATACCTCTCGCTCCCACCTCTACCGCGTACAAATCTACTACGAACCTATTTCGAGTGAGTTCGTTTGTGAGCTCGTAATATTTGTTTACCTTGATGGTATGGTCTTTGGGGATGTTGGTTTCCCAAGGGACCGTAAGCTCTATTATCACTACGCGCTTTAAAATTCGCGAAAACAAAAATATATCCGGTCTGGAGGCCGACGCACAAATATCCTCGGGGATTTTATATTGTTTTTCATACGTGTCCATCATTATAGTCCAATCCGACGCCGCTTTAAGGATGGAGTAAGGCTTGACGTTTGATTTTGTAGCCCTAGTGCCTTCTCTCACAAAACCTACTGATCGTTCGTTTGTGGTTATTCCCTTTTGCGCTCTGGCTACCGAAAGACTAACCGCTTCACGTATGACTTCTAGAACCCTATCGTGACGACGCGAGTATTGACCGCTGTCAAGGAGTACCTTACATCCCACCAGCAGATGCTTAGCAGTTCCAACTGCCTTTCCACAGATATAGCAAGTTTTTTCGGTACTTTTACCCCATCTTACTAAATTACTCTGATCTGGGAGAGTCATCTGGAACGCATTGAGATAGAATTTTAGCAATGCTGGCGACCAATCATAAATTAAAGTGCGCCATTTTAATGCTAATGGGATGCAAAAATCTCCTATGTCTAACCACTCGTTCTGCATTTCTAAATTCATTGCATGGATCTTATATTTATCATTCTCGTCTTGCCGAATAAAAGACTTCAATATATCCGCATCTTGGACTTTCCTATTTGATCCTAACCCCGCTCTGTTACTTTGCGCTCCTATCATAAATTGCTTATGGAATTGAAGTCGTGACTCTAGCTCGGGGGCATCTTCGTCTTTTGGGAGCGATGTCACTATGTCATCATGGGATTTCCCCAGGATATATCTCTTGGAAACTCTTAGGTGTTTATAGAGCTCCGATGGCCTTTTTAGACTCATCCCAAAACTATTGCTTCCCCTAAATAACGCCGATGAATCAGCCGTTAGCGCGAGCCCGAGCCACAACTTCAACATCTTTATGACGCCTGCATCTAACTTTGACAAAAGGGTTCTATTAAAATCATAGACGAGGAAAGGCCAATTCAAACGTGAAGTTAAGTAATTCTCGTAGATCCACGCTTTTTTGACGTTACTTATCAGTTGGCTATCTACCTTGTTAAGATCGTTCAAAAAGCTATCTACTATTCCTTCTAAAGATGGAGTACGGCCTATATTATCTATCTTACGACCGAGAAATTTAAATGGTGCATTTTCCGTAACCGTAGAAATGCATTGACCGCCTAACGATAGTCCCGGATCGTATGAGGTGTATCTTGTATTCCGCCTACCAAGACACAGACAGTGACATTTACTGGGTTTTGTCCTCAATCCATCCGTCCACTCACAGAATTTATCCACTTCATCCAATAGTACCTGACAGTGTTTGGGGTTACGTGTCAGTATTGCGAGATCGTCAGCGAAGGCTAAAATGGATTCCGTGTATTTATTATTAAACTTAAACCGATAACCCCATTTTTTCTCGTTACAGATTAATTTGTCTACTAAGATGTTAATTACGATATTAAACGCAATTGGAGATAGACAACAACCTTGAAACAGTCCTACATTATAACTCAAACTTTTTGAAGGGCCTTCTTTAGTTATTATAGAAAACCTTAATTTTGAGTAATACGACGCGATCATATCTCTAACTAGGGGTGGAAAGTTGTACCATCTAAGCGCGAATAGCATCAATTCGTGTTGTATCGACCCGAACGCGTTCTCCAAGTCTATCCAACAAACAGTGATTTGCCGCTCGCTTTTTCTAGCATCTTTCAAACTCTCCGACAGCAGGTGTTGTGTTCTAAGCATCCAGAAATCCCGGGTAAAAACCCTTTCTGGTGATTTGGCCTAAAATAGTTGTTGCTGAGCATGAATCGCGTCATTCTCGTTTGTAGAACCGAGAAAAAGATTTTCGATATAGTATTTGTTAAAGCTATCGGTCTAGTATCTTTCGGATCAGTAACTCGATCTTTTTTGGGAATGAGGACAAAAATTGCTTTCCCGAAGCACTCCGGGATTTGCTTCCTTGACCAGATTTTACCGTATATATTTAGGAGGTGTTTACGAACCGATGCACATTTTTTAAAGACTATATATGGGATACCATCGGGTCCCGGTGCAGATTTAGACGACTTCCTCTTGATCTGACTACTTAGTTCCTCTAGCGTTGGTGGAATGCCGTGGAATTCGATTCGAGGAAATTCAGGTTTTTGATCGTTTGGATCCCTATACCGTCTTAAACTTTTAGGCACTTCGTATGTGCTCTTAAAATGGTCGTAAATTTGATCGTTGGTCAAGAGAAGCTGTCCGCGTTCTTTCTTAAAAATGGTTTTCGAATACTCAAAAGGGTTTTTATCGAAATCTACTTCTTGTTTTGCCCGGTCAAAATTATCGCGATATTCTGCAGTTTGCGCCGATATTCCTTGGATTAATTTAAGGATTGACCTTAACGCCCTAGCTAGTTGATGACTAAGGTGATTGTCGCCTAGAGCTTTGGCTATACGTAGATTTTTTATTAATTCCCGTTTTTTCTTCCGCATTTTTAATTTGAACGAATTGTCTTTATTTTTGCGAGCATAACGATTACGTGGTGGATATTGCTCGCTAAAGTAGTCATAAACGGTATTTTGGAAAGTTTCTACCTGCGAGTTCAATTCCTGCTTCGAGCCCGGATGCTCTAACAGGACTGCTAAGTTGTCGTCATGAACTTTCCAAGTCGATTGTTTTAGATTAGGAATGCTAAGACGTGTCCTGATGTTAATGGACTCCTGGTGGTTTCCAGTTAATGGTTCACCATGGGATACATGAGGGTCAACTCTATCCGAAGTGAATGTTGTAGATCTTACCGACGATTGTCGTGCTTCAACCCCATTATGTGTTTTTAGATGTTTAATGTACCAGGCTCGTCTCTTGTAGTTTTTCCCGCACGTAGAGCATTTCAAGTCCGTATTCGCGCCGTTTTCGCCGTTAAAATCGACCGGTGGACAGTTCTTCCGCCCCCCCTCTCGGACTGTCCCAGGGGTATTTTTCTTCTTCGGACTTTTAGCTTTATGTATACCGGGTTGGGCTTGCTAGGCCGTCGCCCTCGGCTGTCTTTCCAGCAGTCATCCGTCTTTCCGGCAGTCATCCGTCTTTCCGGCAGTCAGCTGTCTTTCCAGCGTCAGCCCGACTCTCCGGGCAGTCGTTTTAAATAAGACGAAACTTCTCAGCATTCCATGGATTCACCGTGCGGGTGCCGGGTCCATCGCGTTGCAGGGGGAGGAGCTTCAACAGAGCCTGGGACTTGCGACCCAAGTGTAGGTTTAAGGGGCCCCTTAACTAACGCGCGTTATACGCTCACCTCCACTGTCCAAGCTCCTCTCCCTACCTAACCAAATTTGAAAAGAACCTACTAGGGCTGCCTTCGATGTACGTTCCAAGAATGCATTAATGTGAGTTCTGGACAAGCCCAAGTCCTTTAGTAGGTTATAGAGAGATTTCGCTGTTATACCTCTCGCTCCCACCTCTACCGCGTACAAATCTACTACGAACCTATTTCGAGTGAGTTCGTTTGTGAGCTCGTAATATTTGTTTACCTTGATGGTATGGTCTTTGGGGATGTTGGTTTCCCAAGGGACCGTAAGCTCTATTATCACTACGCGCTTTAAAATTCGCGAAAACAAAAATATATCCGGTCTGGAGGCCGACGCACAAATATCCTCGGGGATTTTATATTGTTTTTCATACGTGTCCATCATTATAGTCCAATCCGACGCCGCTTTAAGGATGGAGTAAGGCTTGACGTTTGATTTTGTAGCCCTAGTGCCTTCTCTCACAAAACCTACTGATCGTTCGTTTGTGGTTATTCCCTTTTGCGCTCTGGCTACCGAAAGACTAACCGCTTCACGTATGACTTCTAGAACCCTATCGTGACGACGCGAGTATTGACCGCTGTCAAGGAGTACCTTACATCCCACCAGCAGATGCTTAGCAGTTCCAACTGCCTTTCCACAGATATAGCAAGTTTTTTCGGTACTTTTACCCCATCTTACTAAATTACTCTGATCTGGGAGAGTCATCTGGAACGCATTGAGATAGAATTTTAGCAATGCTGGCGACCAATCATAAATTAAAGTGCGCCATTTTAATGCTAATGGGATGCAAAAATCTCCTATGTCTAACCACTCGTTCTGCATTTCTAAATTCATTGCATGGATCTTATATTTATCATTCTCGTCTTGCCGAATAAAAGACTTCAATATATCCGCATCTTGGACTTTCCTATTTGATCCTAACCCCGCTCTGTTACTTTGCGCTCCTATCATAAATTGCTTATGGAATTGAAGTCGTGACTCTAGCTCGGGGGCATCTTCGTCTTTTGGGAGCGATGTCACTATGTCATCATGGGATTTCCCCAGGATATATCTCTTGGAAACTCTTAGGTGTTTATAGAGCTCCGATGGCCTTTTTAGACTCATCCCAAAACTATTGCTTCCCCTAAATAACGCCGATGAATCAGCCGTTAGCGCGAGCCCGAGCCACAACTTCAACATCTTTATGACGCCTGCATCTAACTTTGACAAAAGGGTTCTATTAAAATCATAGACGAGGAAAGGCCAATTCAAACGTGAAGTTAAGTAATTCTCGTAGATCCACGCTTTTTTGACGTTACTTATCAGTTGGCTATCTACCTTGTTAAGATCGTTCAAAAAGCTATCTACTATTCCTTCTAAAGATGGAGTACGGCCTATATTATCTATCTTACGACCGAGAAATTTAAATGGTGCATTTTCCGTAACCGTAGAAATGCATTGACCGCCTAACGATAGTCCCGGATCGTATGAGGTGTATCTTGTATTCCGCCTACCAAGACACAGACAGTGACATTTACTGGGTTTTGTCCTCAATCCATCCGTCCACTCACAGAATTTATCCACTTCATCCAATAGTACCTGACAGTGTTTGGGGTTACGTGTCAGTATTGCGAGATCGTCAGCGAAGGCTAAAATGGATTCCGTGTATTTATTATTAAACTTAAACCGATAACCCCATTTTTTCTCGTTACAGATTAATTTGTCTACTAAGATGTTAATTACGATATTAAACGCAATTGGAGATAGACAACAACCTTGAAACAGTCCTACATTATAACTCAAACTTTTTGAAGGGCCTTCTTTAGTTATTATAGAAAACCTTAATTTTGAGTAATACGACGCGATCATATCTCTAACTAGGGGTGGAAAGTTGTACCATCTAAGCGCGAATAGCATCAATTCGTGTTGTATCGACCCGAACGCGTTCTCCAAGTCTATCCAACAAACAGTGATTTGCCGCTCGCTTTTTCTAGCATCTTTCAAACTCTCCGACAGCAAGGTGTTGTGTTCTAAGCATCCAGAAATCCCGGGTAAAAACCCTTTCTGGTGATTTGGCCTAAAATAGTTGTTGCTGAGCATGAATCGCGTCATTCTCGTTTGTAGAACCGAGAAAAAGATTTTCGATATAGTATTTGTTAAAGCTATCGGTCTAGTATCTTTCGGATCAGTAACTCGATCTTTTTTGGGAATGAGGACAAAAATTGCTTTCCCGAAGCACTCCGGGATTTGCTTCCTTGACCAGATTTTACCGTATATATTTAGGAGGTGTTTACGAACCGATGCACATTTTTTAAAGACTATATATGGGATACCATCGGGTCCCGGTGCAGATTTAGACGACTTCCTCTTGATCTGACTACTTAGTTCCTCTAGCGTTGGTGGAATGCCGTGGAATTCGATTCGAGGAAATTCAGGTTTTTATTCTTTAATCCGTGACCGGTTGCTAAGACTTTTTAGGGATATTAAAAATATAAATATAAAGCTTAATATTTATCCATATAATAGTACATAAACATAGAATATATAAGTTATGTACTTGTTTATTGGTTTGCTTTTGAAAAACACGTTCAATTTGAACATGACAACATGTCACTCGCAGGAAACGTCATATCACGTCATACAATCAAAAAACAATCCCTTAAATAAAGTGTTCAACTTATTTATTACTTACGTTTAGCCTTATACAAGAGGAAAAAGAATTTTTAATTAGTTATGTATCAATTGTTACAAAAATTGTTTAAAAATCTCAACCGTTTAAAACGCAATAACATTACAGCCATTAATTTGTCAATTGAATGTAGTACTTTTATAAGTCATTTATATTATTTCATGTTAAATTTCTCCTATTTTACTAATAAAAGATTTAATTGCATTATTTTTTCAGTGAAATGATGGTTCCAGCTCAATACGTCGGTTCTCAGCCGGGTTTGGCGCAATCTTTTCTTCCCAACGCCTACTATAAACTTCAAGAATCTCACTATTTACACGGAAATCCTTGAAAATGTATATAAATGTGATTATAAAACCACCAATATATTTAATATACCAACTACCATATATTTACATCTATATAACAATAAATTTTCTATACATTTCTTATATTTGTAAGTTTTTTTGACGTTTCTTAATATTTCAAATGTGAGCTCAATATTATACAGATAATATATGAAAAGTTCATCTATTAAGTAGTGTATATTTGTATGTACTTGTATAGACTTTTTTCAAAATAATATTACAAGAATCCAAACTATAATTTAAGATAGTAATTATAGGTCTACGAATATATTAAAACATATATATTGGAATTATAATCATAATTCAAAATGTTCTTAATAAAATATTGTGTAATTTCTTCAATTTGATAATTCATAGGTACAGATTATATCTTGATTCACAGATGACTTATAAATTTTAACATATTAATATTTGTTCCTGATATTTAGACTTTTTAGTAAGATATATCATAAAGCTCAATATATCATGTAAATATAGTGGTGCTGTTAAGTTTAAATTGTATTCTAGTCTAAAATGCATTAAAAATTATATTAAATGATTTGTTATTTTATTTCTTTAAAAATATTTAATACCTTTTACATTTAATGTTAAAGATATAGTGTTATAATGTATATTTTTAAAGTTTAGCTAAGAACTTGAAAGAATACTAGTGGTGACTTACACATTTCGATACAATAAAATAAAGTTTTTCCTATTCATAAGACCAAGAATGTAGTTTGTATGTTTTATAGTAAAAGATTTGATTGAAACTTAAAACAAATTAAAATGTATAAAAGAATTTATTTAAAGATTGAAATTACAAATTGATGGATAAACTAAACTCGTTAATTCAAGTTTCTTTTTATTAATACGTCAATTGGTTAATATATCATAGGTTCCGAATAAAATAATGAATATGTTATACACAGTTATCTGGTAATACAAATTAAAAGTAAGTTTTAAAATTAATCTAATAAATTATATATCTAAGTAATTCTCAAATTTTGGTCGTGTCAATTAATAAATTACATGGAATACCTGGTTAAATAAAATATTAATGATATATGAAATGAATAGGAAATAGTGTTTTGAAGTCCTTTATCATTGAAGTATAAAAAAATTTAAAAATAATATTCAAAATAAAATTATTGTTAAAAACAATCCTTTAATATATTACTAATAGAAACCAAACCAAGGCGTCAGAGCGCTAAAATGCATATAAAAACTTAATGTAATCGCTGTCATCGTGACAGTTGTTACTTATCAAATACAGTATATTTGAGTCTTTGTTCTAAATTTCTTACAAAATCTTCAATTATTATTTCCTAAATTATAAAATAATATAAAAAGTAATAGTAAACAGTTTTTCTACAACGAGCAATAAACATTTTCTATTATATGCATTTATATAGAGTTAGTGAAAGGTATTGCGCGATATAATGAGTGATTCTAAATCGTTTGTAAATTTTTCATGCCAGAGATGTTTACAACCTTTGAAACTGGACGAATCTCTTAACAATCTTGGAGAGCACACGATCGCTGATTTGACGCTGCAGATTCGTCGGAATAATGAAGCGGATCTTGATTTGCAGTCATCTAGTTTGGACCATTATGTGCCTCCGTTTCGTATGTCTGAATCAGGTAACGGGGCCAACGGATTCATGGTAATCTCAGACGGATGGGAAACTACATCTATTGGACATCAATTGCATGTTAAAGCCACATTATTTGATTTGCTCTCCAATAATTCTGATGTAGATCATCCATTATGTGACGAATGCACTGACACGCTATTAGAATTAATGGACAACCAATTAAGACTCGCTGAGGCCGAGTGGAAGGATTATAACGATTATCTAAAGAAATTAGAAGACGATAAAGAAGATTTGAACTTGGAAGGACTCGAGAAGGAACTAGAAGATTGGAAACAGGAGCAGAGTCGACTTTTACAGGAGTTATCTGCTTTACAGAAAGAAGAAAAAGCTATGAAAGACGAGATAGACATACAAGAGAAAGAGAAGGATAGATTAGAAGTCGAACAAGAGATATATTGGAAGGAATACACGAGATTTCGCAAAGATTTGATGACGACTGAAGATCAAATTAAATTCTATGAGTGTCAATTATCATATACACAAACACAGCTGGACAAACTGAAGAAAACGAATATATTTAAAGCCACATTTCATATATCAGATTCGGGACAGTTTGGTATTATTAATAACTTTAGGCTCGGTCGGCTGCCGTCGGCACCTGTTGATTGGTCTGAAATCAATGCCGCGTGGGGACAAACGGTGTTATTATTATCATCATTGGCTAGAAAAATCAATTTCTGTTTCCAACGATATAGATTAGTACCATATGGAAATCATTCTTATATTGAGGTTTTGGAAGATCAGAAAGTGTTACCGCTCTATGGTTCAGGCGGTTTCCGTTTTCTTTGGGATACTAAATTTGATGCGGCCATGGTAGCATTTTTAGATTGTGTCCAACAATTTAAGGAACAAGTCGAGAAGGGCAACACAGGTTTTTGTTTGCCGTACAGAATTGATAAAGGGAAAATCGAAGACACTGCTTCCCCACCGCATGCATATTCAATTAAAATCCAATTTAATTCCGAAGAGCATTGGACGAAAGCCCTAAAATATATGTTGACGAACTTAAAATGGGGTCTAACATGGATATCGTCGCAAATAAGCGAAGACAATATTGAGAATTGAATTAATATTTCTGTGATATATTTTCTAGTACATGAATTAGTATAATTTGTATATATTGTGATTATTATTTTTTTTAATACAAATCGTTGTTTTTAATGTTATGTTTGTATGTCAGTAACTTAATGTATAACTCCAATGCGAAGTAAGCAGTAATAAATGATATGATTGCAATACATTTGTTTTTCTTGTTTTCTTTGTATGTGGTAGAGATCAGATAATGCCCTCTATTGGTGAATTAAAGTATTAGTACTAACTAGTAACTAATATTTCATAAAGCGCCATCTGTTATATTTCCCTTCAACTATTATGTACTTCAGAGAAGCTAAATGTTTCTACTACTTGATAGTAGATGGCAGTTATTTTTATAGACTTGAAAATATAATATATCTCATTTTTTATAAGCATAAACAAATATATACAAATTCATAATGTCTTATTGTGTATAGCAGTTTATAATTTTAAATACATTTTAAACATATTTACAAATTAACTGTCGTTATATGTAAATAAATCAATATGTATATTGTTTTTCATTTTTACCAAAACATCTATAAACTTAATTTGTACCTGACACAATTCATGAAAATAAAGACAAACCTGATTCATATGTACCTACAATTATAATTTACGATGAATAATAAGCAATTATTTGAATTTTCAATCCTATCTGCCTTATAAATTGACATATTTGCTTAGCACACTAAAATTACTACCTATATAAAAAAAATTACAAACAATACGAGTCTACAATATAATAGGAGCTATTTCATTGTCCAGTCGTTTATCATTACTAAAATATCAAAAAAAAAAGAAAAGCGATTCAAACGGAAACCTATTTCATAAACTAGCGAAAAGCCCGAATAGAGTGTCGTTTTTTAATCTGTATGAAAAAGAATTGTTCAAAACAATGACAGTGACAGAACAATATAAATCCTTCATAGTCGTAATTTACTTGTCACATAAATATTGTTGTAAAAAATTTCGCCGTTTGTTCCAGTACAGATAATATATATTTTAATCCATAATTTTTATTTCATTATAAAAATAGCATACAATATTATGAACCTAAAAAGATAAAAACAGAAAAGAATATTATTTAATTGTTTTTTTTTTCTTTTTTGATGATAGATTTTGTTTTTATTTTGAAACAGTCCATTATGTTGTTTTTAAATATATTAACTTCAAGGGATTATAAGTTAGCATCAAGAATGCCACTTAAGCAAAACTATTTTGAACAAATATCTTTCGTATAAATAAACAGTTGACGGCAGAGGATCTACTTAGAGTATTGCTTTCATTGACATTTTAGTTTTATGGCAATCTTTAAAAATAAAATACATACATAAATAGAAAAGTTAAATATAACGAGATTTTAATAACCACGTTACAACAATTATTATTTTTTACTATGTAATTTAAATATGATTGTAAAAAATAAAATTAATAATTCTAAAGGTGACTTATAATGATCATCGGGTGGTGACGGAATAGAAATACAAATATTAACTTTCAGGAAAGACAAGCTAGTCTCTGCTAACAAAATTAAAATTAAAACTGTACTACAAAATCAATTCTGCCTAAATCCCGCCTTTGTTGCGTTATGGCAACACTAGTTTTTAATTGAATTAAACCTGTAATTTTGCTGGTGAATGAATTTCACGTTGTTACATTTGCTTTATCCCTTTCTTATTCGTAAATATTAAAGTACGTGAACATATGATTTTGTTCATATAAATTTAATATATTTTCGTTTTTTTGGAATGTAAAAGAGTAATTTTCAATTTTAGGAGAATATTAAAATATGTTGCCTTTAATTTATTTTTGGACTGTGAGCGACATTCTAGCCAGAATAAATAAAAGAGAATATGAAATATTTTGAATATTTAAATACTATCTTATGCTCGCGGGTTTGTCTGCATTTTAAACAACATTGAAGTTACTCTTAATCTATAAAAGGTTATACTAGCTTTCTTGAAGATCTTTTTATTAGTTCCTGAATTAGTTACTAAAACTCTTTTGATTAAAAAAATATTTTTGTAAGTCAGTCTATAATTGCAGGAATAATCCTATGCCCATTATTGCACCTATAATAATGACAAATCGAAAAATTTATCTTGTTTGAAGTAAGATAAAAAGTATTCTTAGTTACTGCTGACAATAATATCTTTGAATGAAAATGCAAATCTCGACATTTATATAGCGTACAATTGCGAAAGATTAGTGATTATATTATATGGTTAGAACGAATCGATTTTCATTTAGATAGAGGTTTTTGTCCTTATAAACCTGCTTATATACGTACAAGATACTCTACCAAGATTTTTAAATTTTAGAAGGACGTAAAGTCAGTATTTTGTCTATTTATCTTTGACAGCTCGTTGCAGAAGTGGCGAAACAGCGTAGCACTAGAACGGTGTGAACGATAATGGCTAGGTTATGAGATTTGAGAGGCTTGCAAACTACGGTAGAAGTCTTCAAACTCAGTGGAAACTTCAGGCTTTGACGTGAGCACAGATCCATTCGCTTTTAATACTTGTTAGATGACTATTACTAAGCCTCTGTAGAAATGTTTTGGGCGTCTATTTCGCTGTAATTACTCATCAATAGCAATGGCATTATTTCGTCTTAGGTCCCACCTTTCTGAGTTCTACAAGCTTAGTGAAGTCCATCTGATCCGATACTAAAGTTGCCTCACGTCTTTTAGCCATTACTTGTAATGTCTCTTCTGAGAGATTTGACATACGGCCTGTACGCCTTTTATCACAAAATTTATTAAATAAACTTATATATTATTTTGAGAAATGGCCTTATTTTGTCTTTTTATTAGATTAAAAACAGAATTTCATTCAATTTACTGTCTATTACTTAATTATTTTAACAAATAAGAATGTTGTTAGTCAAGGGAAACGTCTTGATTGTTATAAATTTATGAAAACAAAAACTAAAACTTATTACAAGATATTTATTGTTCAGAATTATAATACATTTTATTATATCTCAAAAATATTATTAAATGGCTTATTATTGAATGTTAATCAAAGAAATTTGCAGAATCAACTAACGGACACGGTTTTCAGTAGTTCTCAAAACAAAAGTATATGTATATTATTTATTTCAGATTTGTTAGTATAAGCAATCGGTTACTATTTTTCTTATTTCCCTAAACATAGTCAAAGAATATTTTTCCAGTCGTATTTTTAGTTTACAATGGACCAGCCTGAGTTAAAGATACAGATTACTATAAGCTGAAACAGAGTTAAGTGGCGTGAATGATTAATATACTTCACTCTAAATCCGTGAAGTTACCAAGTTTTGTTGCAATTATAAGTTATTTTCTTTGAGAGTTATGTGATTGCTGGTTAATAATTAAAGTAAATGTTTGTCGATGTATTTAATATTAGTTTTTATCCTGACTTTGGCTCGCGTAAGATCAGAATTCTTGAAATAAAATCTTATAGTACTTAGTAGGCTACATAAAATAATTATTATAAGTGAATATACAACATTTTCATACAATTTTATTACGGATTTTTAGAGATTGAGAAACTAATATAAATATTCCTTTAAAAATTTTATTTCCACATTAATATATTGTTAATTATTTAAGTAGTAACGAATGTTACATTTGACATTTGAGTTTTCTAATCTAATTTTGCCGATATTTCTCTTTATTGAAAGCATCATTGACAATTAATCTGTCAGATATTTAATATTTTGATTTACATTATCTTTGAAAGTAAAGAATTGACACACGAGGGAATATCGAGATGTGTTGGAAGATAGATCTCTCATCAAAGATTTTTAAAGAAATAAGATATTAAACTAAGTCAGATAATAATCAAGGTCATCTTTTGAAAAGAATATTTTAATCTTTTTTGTTACGAGCTTTCAAAGGTTTCATTTGAAAGGCTTTAACGACAGAAATATAAACTTCTTCATTTATTTTGTCTCTTTCTTTATATTATTTATTATTTTAATATCTTAAAATATTTATAGTAATGTACATGTTCGTTTATTGATTAAAATCAGAGAGAAGAGCATGTACATATATATGTATGTCCGTGTTAATTTATTCGGATAAGAATACCTTAAGTGGATTTAAAAAACTGTACTTACTTACCTCTGACTACTCATTGTGTAATGATATTTAAGGTTTTCTAATATACTCATTTTAATGAAACTATTTTTATCATAATATTACGCGTTTTTTATTATTTTATATCTACATACTCTTGTGTTTCGGTTTCTTTACAGTAACCGTGATCACGGGCAGACGGTTAAAATATACTACAATTACTTTAATTTTTGATTAATTTAAAGTAAAATTAAGTGCTTCATGTCATATTTACGTATTTTGTTATCTCTATTTAGTTATATATATAATAAAAATATTCATAATATATTAATGATTGACAGTATATTTTTTATCAAGCCCCGATTAGTTTGACCTCAACCAAAACCGAATATAAAATATATAAAGAAGAAAGCTAATTAAACAGACCATACAATTATAAAGGTGAGAAAATTTTATCATCCTTTATTTTATCTTTAAACCAGAGTTCGCTATTTAAAGGCTTCTTTTATTTTCACACCGAAGCTACCAGGATCGTAAATCTTGTTTAACGTTTGTGATACCGAACTGTTCTGTTTAAGAGATCACAACTACATCTGGACATTACAAAAGATAAAAAAGGTATGTTTTTATCAACTTTAAGATTTACAAATCGTCGCGGGATTTTGTCTTACTTCGTAACAAGATAAGTTTTGTAAACACATTAATTATACTTAGTTGTTATCTTCACTGATTTACACATGTAAAGAAAATGTAGATTTTGAGCTAATAGTATTTATATACTAATTTAATAAAAATACTTTGAGAGAATGTAAGGCTATTTGTATCTGTTACACCGAAAAACTATTGAAAGAATTTTGATAAAATTCTACAGTTATTTAGGTCAAACATCAAGATGAGACACAGTCTATAATTTCTCCTGGAATTA